GGAGGGCCGCTCTGGGAAGATTCCTGGTGGTTCCAAACTTCTTCCATTTACAGATGATGGAGGCCACTGTGCTCACTGGCACCTTCAATGCTGCAGAAATGTTTCTGTTTTCTGTACCCTTCCCCAGATCTGTGCCTTGATACAATCCTGTCTCGTAGGTCTACAAACAATTCCTTGGACTTCATGGCTCGGTTTGTGCTCTGACATGCACTGTTACCTGTGGAACCTTATATAGACAGGTTTATGCCTTTCCTAATCATGTCCAATCAACTGAACTTCCCACAGATGTTGTAGAAACATCTCAAGGATGATTAGTGGGAACAGGATGCACCAGAGCTCAATTTTGAGTGCCATGGCAAAGGCTGTTAATACTTCTGTACATGTGTTTTTTTATTTTTAATAAATTGCAAAGATTTCAAAACGAACATCTTTCACGTTGTCATTATGGGGTATTGTTTGTAGAATGTTGAGGAAAAAAATGAAATTAATCCACTTTGGAATAAGGCTGTAACCTAACAAAATGTGGCAAAAGTTAAGCGCTGTGAATACTTTCTGGGTGCACTGTAGATAGATAGATAGATAACAGACCAATAGATAGACAGATGAAACTGGCTATTTAACCCAGTCTAGAAGATTCAGCAGTAGGGATGGGCCAGACGTACCCGAGTTCTGTTCAAGGTCAGTTTGGAGAACATTACCAAATTTTGGATGCCAAATCTGAACCCCATTATAGTCAACAGAAGACAAATGTTAGAAATCAGTAATGGCCATTTCTAAGCTAATAGGCAAAGGATTGTCAAACAAATGGTATGGGGGGCTGGGGACTGCCCTGGGGAAATTCTACCAAAGAAAAAACATTTTTTAAAAATTCAGCTTGACTGGGAGCATGCAAAGCACCTTGTCCCCATGTTAATATGGAAAAGGGCCTCTTCCCCAGAAACCTGGTCCAGGGTTGTGGGGGGGTCTGTTCATAGGGCCTTATCAAAATATGGACTCCCCAACTATAACTAGGCCCTCAGATACTAACCTTCCTATGTTAATGATTAATTTGTATGCAATAAAAATATTCCCACGGTGTACATCCACTATCAATCATATCTTGCAGCTTTCCAGATCCTCATCAATAACGATGAAGGATGCCCATTGACTCAAAAAAAAAAAAAAAAAAAAAAATCAATATACTTGATCTCAAAAATAAATAATCCTTGTCATTTGCCTGATAGGTTTATTTCTTATGATCCCAACTCCATCTAGTGGACATAATGTGTTTTTTTTTCCCCAAAATACCTCAATCAGGAAAATACTGCAGATATAGCTGATGATTAGAAGAAATATATGTAACTATATAATTTTTCTGTTATTGCTTACTGTTACATAACTTTGTATTCTGAATATACACACACCGCATCGATATACAACTGTAATTCTTATACAGCTGCTTGAGAGCGGTAAAAAGAGTTAAAAACACATCATCGATCGTAATCTGTAGCTATGAACCACTGAGGGAAGGGATATGTTACTGCGTCTTTAAAACTTGGAGTGAAAAACGCTGATGTCATTAATATTTATGAGACCTCTAAGCCCAAACAACATCATTTTCGTTATCTGAAGTAGGTAATAGATCATTCATTGATAAATAATGCAATACCTGATCAAATAAGATTATCGGATAGAAAACTTAGTGGGGAACGGGCTGTGATATATAAAAAAAAGCAGCAATGCACAGCTGAGCCAAAAGCAAATGGTACAAGTCCATTAACAGTGACCTCATCATTTACTATAAAGGTTCTGCTCATTAGGACTTATAATATCACAGGGAGGTGTAGTATGAGGGTCCAGCTCACTAGGAATTATAATAGGGGAGGTAAGGGGGTCCTACTTATAATATAACAAGGGGAGGTATGAGGGTCCTGCTCATTAGGACTTCATAATAGGGGGAGGTATGAGGGTCCTGCTCATTATAACTTATAGTAGGAGGAGGTATGAGGGTCCCTACGTATAATATAACAAGGGGAGGTATGAGTGTTCCTGCTCATTAGGACTTATAATAGGGGGAGGTATAAGGGTCCTGCTCATTAGGACTTATAATAGGGGGAGGTATGAGGGTCCTGCCTATAATATAACAAGGGTAGGTATGAGGGTCCTGCTTATATAGGGACTTATGACAGGGGAGGTATGAGGGTCCTGCTTATAATATAACAAGGGGAGATATAAGGGTTTTTCTCATTAGGACTTATGATATCAAAGTGAGGTGGAGTATGAGAGTCCTGTTCATTAGGACTTATAATAGGGGGAGGTATGAGGGTCCTGCTCATTATAACTTATAATAGGAGGAGGTATGAGGGTCCTGCTCATTATAACTTCTAATAGGGGGAGGTATGAGGGTCCTGCTTATAACTTATAACAGGGGGAGGTATGAGGGTCCTGCTTATTAAGGTTTTATAAGGGAGGTATGAGGGTCCTGCTCATTATAACTTATAATAGGAGGAGGTCATACCTCCCCCTGCTTATAAGTCCTAATAAGCAGGGGACCCTATACCTCCCTTATTAGGATTCTAACAGGGGGACCCTCATAGTCTTGCTCATTATAGCTTATAATAGGAGGAGGCATGAAGGGTCCTGCTTATAGGACTTATAACAGGGGGAGGTATGAGGGTCCTGCTTATAATATAGCAAAGGGGAGATATAAGGGTTTTTCTCATTTCGGACTTATGATATCAAAGTGAGGTGGAGTATGAGGGTCCTGTTCTTTAGGACTTCTAATAGGGGGAGGTATGAGGGTCCTACTTATAATACAACAAGGGGAGGTATGAGGGTCCTGCTCATTAGAGAATATAAAATAACGGGAAGGTAGGTTGCCCTCTACCACTAAATACCTATGTCCAGGACATCTCCCATGCTGCACTTTTATCCTGGAATGTTCATTGTTGTCTATTACAGCAATGGTCAAACTTTTTAGAGGGCCTCAAAGTGCAGCTCCTGACAGGTCCAAAGGGTTGCACAATAGCAATGCTCAAAAATTCCAGTCCAGCTGCATTTTTCACATTACACACCAAAAATGTAACCCACAAGATTGGTGTCAGTGGACGCAATAATAATCTCCAACAATGGTGTCAGTGGATGCAAAAATAACCCTCAAAATTGGGGTCAGTGACTACAATAATGACCCCCATCATAGGTGTCAGTGGACACAAGAATAACCCCCATCATTGGTGTCAGTGGACACAAGAATAACCCCCCCAACATTGGTGTCAATGGACACAATAATAACCCCCAACATTAGTGTCAGTGGACGCAATAATAACCCCCCAGCATTGGTGTCAATGGAATAACCCCCCAACATTAGTGTCAGTGGACGCAATAATAATAACCCCCATTGGTCAGTGGACACAATAATAACCCCCAGCTTTGGTGTCAGTGGACACAATAATAACTCCCAGTATCAATGTCAATGGATGCAATAATAAACTCCAGCATTGGTGTCACAAGAATTCAGCAATAATCCCCAACATTGGTGTCAGTGGACGCAACAATAATCTCCAACATTGGCGCCAGTGGAGGCAATAATAAACCCCAACATTATTGTCAGTGGAGGTATTAACAACCCCAATATTAGTGTCAGTGTACACAATAATAACCCCCAACATTGGTATTAATGGATGCAATAATAAACACAGCATTAGTGTCAGTTGAACAATAATCCCCAACATTGGTGTTAGTGGAGGCAATGATAATCCCCAACATTGATTATTGGTGTAACACCAGCATTGGTGCGGGTGGATGTGATAATCCCTGACATTGGTGTCAGTGGACACAATAATAACCCCCAGCATTAGTGTCAGTGGATGAAATAATAAACCCCCAGCATTGATGTCAGTGGACTCGGTAGTAACCCTCAAGACTCAATGGATGCAGTAATGACCCACAACATTGATGTCAGTGGATGGAATAATATCTGCCAACACTGGTGTCAGTTACTGCAATAATAACACTGAACATTGGTGTCAGTGGACTCAGAAATAACCCCTAACATTGGAAACAGTGGGTGCAATAATAACCTCCAACATTGGTGTCAGTGACTGCAATAATACACCCCCCCCCCCACACACACACACACACACCTCCCTGCATTGGCTCAGATGTCTATTAGGTTGCCCTCTACTACTGAATATGTATTTCCAGGACTTCTCTCATGCTGCATCCTTATCCTTGAATACTCCTCATTGGCTCTTAGTACTCATTCACACTTCCTCTACAGCAGGGGTACTCAAACTACGGCCCACGGGCCACATGCGGCCCGCCGAGGACATTTATCCGGCCTCCAGGCAGGGGTGTATCTGCCGCGAAGGCAAGGGACTAGGGTTTGGCAGGTCGGAAGAGCTCAGCAGGGCTCGAGCGGGAGGCAGGAGGGCGGAATCAGCAATTCTAGAACAGAGGAAGGTGAGCTCGGCTTATGAACCCGCACCACTCACCTGGCCTCTATGCAGCCAGCCGGCCATCTATTCTGATCAGTGCATGCAACCGTCACGGCCTGGAGGGCGGAGCCTAGAGCTGACCATGAAGAGGGGGAGCAAAGAGAGGAGACTCCATCGCTGCATGTCGGGTATCATGGCCACGGACCCTAGAGAAGTGCAATAGATGATCAATCTCCTCCCCCCTTCCTCTCTCTCTCTCCCCCTCCTCTCTCTCCCCCTCCTCCCCCCTTTCCTCTCTCTCCCCCCCTTCCTCTCTCCCCCCCTTCCTCTCTCTCCCCCCCCCCTCCTCCCCCCCTCTCCTCTCTCTCCCCCTCCTCTCTCCCTCCCCCCTCCTCTCTCTCTCCCCTCCTTATCTTCCCCCCTCTCTCTTTACATTGTACACAGATTTGACCCAACAAGGTGTCCTGCATTTACCGTATATTTTGCTCCATAAGACACACTTGAGGGGGAAATGTCTGTGCGTATTATGGAGCAGCCGGCCCAGTATTCCCGCCGCCGTTGTATGTCCGCAGTCTCTGGTCATCCCCTGTACTGTGTCCGCAGTCTCTGGTCATCCCCTGTACTGTGTCCGCAGTCCTCTGGTCATCTACTGCACTGTGTCCGCAGTCTCTGGCCATCTCCTGTACTATGTCCGCAGTCTCTGGTCATCTACTGCACTGTGTCCGCAGTCTCTGGCCATCTCCTGTACTATGTACGCAGTCTCTGGTCATTCCCTGTACTATGTACGCAGTCTCTGGTCATCTCCTGTACTGTCCGCAGTCTCTGGTCATCCCCTGTACTGTGTCCGCAGTCTCTGGTCATCTCCTGTACTGTGTCTGCAGTCTCTGGTCATCCCCTGTACTGTGTCCGCAGTCTCTGGTCATCTCCTGCACTGTGTCCGCAGTCTCTGGCCATCTCCTGTACTGTGTCCGCAGTCTCTGGTCATCTCCTGTACTGTGTCCGCAGTCTCTGGTCATCTCTGTACTGTGTCCGCAGTCTCTGGTCATCTCCTGTACTGTGTCCGCAGTCTCTGGTCATCTCCTGTACTATGTCTGCGTCTCTGACCATCTCCTGTACTGTGTCCACGGTCTCTGGTCATCTCCTGTACTATGTCTGCGGTCTCTGACCATCTCCTGTACTATGTCCGCAGTCTCTGATCATCTCCTGTACTGTGTCCACAGTCTCTGGTCATCTCCTGTACTGTGTCTGTGGTCTCTGGTCATCTCCTGTACTGTGTCCGCAGTCTCTGATCATCTCCTGTACTGTGTCTGCAGTCTCTGATCATCTCCTGTACTGTGTCCGCAGTCTCTGGTCATCTCCTGTACTATGTCCGCAGTCTCCTGGTCATCTCCTGTACTGTGTCCGCAGTCTCCTGGTCATCTCCTGTACTGTGTCCGCAGTCTCTGGTCATCTCCTGTACTGTGTCCGCAGTCTCTGGTCATCTCCTGTACTGTGTCCGCAGTCTCTGGTCATCTCCTGTACTGTGTCCGCAGTCTCTGGTCATCTCCTGTACTGTGTCCGCAGTCTCTGATCATCTCCTGTACTGTGTCCGCAGTCTCTGGTCATCTCCTGTACTGTGTCCGCATTTGTTCATAGATTTTTTTTTTAAACTATAGTCTGGCCCTCCAACGGTCTGAGGGATAGTGAACTGGCCCTCTGTTTAAAAAGTTTGGGGACCCCTGGTCTACAGTATAGCATATACAATATTCTGCTATAAAATAAATACTGAATCCCATTTCTTCCTATGTGTCTTGTTCTGGGTCATTGACCAGAACTATGGAAGTACGGGGTCAGAGTGACAGCCAGGGAACTAGCATTTTCAGAATAAGAAGCCGACAATGGACGCCTCTATGTTTCTCTCTGAAAAGTTTCCTTTCATACATTCCATAATATCTCGTCTAACTCTTGCCGTACGGACAGTCATGGGGAATGGCTGCCGGGGGGACATGTGACCCGGTTATAATCATGAGGATTAGGAAAACGAATGCGGTTTTCACAGCCATATGACCCTTTTAATCAAAGGGATTTATTTAACTATTCTGGTCCTGGCATGATGCAGCCAACCCCCTGCTATGCAGTCTGCCTGAGTGACTATAAATAGAAATCTATTTTTGGAATGGCGGTGCTGCTGGTCCCCCCCTTTCCCCTATACTCCCATCCCCCATAGAGTCAGCATTCCTGTACAGTCTATAGGAGGGAGACTTCCCATATGTCAATTCTTTATGAAGCCAAGCCCAGCCCCCCTCCTATGCTCCATCATTTAATATTTTTATGGAATTTTCTCCTTGTTACACAGTTCCTTGCAATCTGTAGTAGAGTGTAGGGGACATTCTTTATTCCCCCAAATTTTAATTTAAAGCTGTACTCCAAGCACATAGGAAATACATTTGGAGGGGGAGTTCTTTTATCTGCCCCCCCCCCCCAAAAAAAAAAATAATTGTGTATCTGTCCATCCAGTTCTGAGATTTTCAGAGCTCTGCCACACACTACAGTCTTGTCTGGCAGGACAGCAGAGTAATATTTACAGATCTCATACCTCCCCCAGCCTGTGATTGGACTTTGAAAAGAGAAGCAGCAGACTGATGAGCCCATCTCTCTATCACTCTCGTCTCTCCTCCTATCAGCCTGCTTCTTGCAGTACAACCCTGTCATGCACGGGAGGGAACCTAACTGTGCTCTGCTGCAGATTCACTTTCACTTATAGGTCTAGTCCCTCCCCCATCCTGTGACTGGACAGGTAAAGTAGAACCAGCAGACTAATAATCTCATCCAACTGTCACTTGCTCTATCTTCCCATCAACATGTTCCTTTTTAGCACATGAGCATTTCAGCGCACCCTAATTGGCTGATTGTGCTGCTTCTCCCTCTCCGGGTCTGAGCTCTGCTATAAAGGAGATTTACTTTTAGGTACCTTTAAGAGTAAATCCTATCTACTCAGTAATTTAGATATTCAGGCATTGCTGTAGTATCCCAGTCCACCCCTATCTCTTTAATCTGTAATCACGTGGTCTTGGAACCCCAACTTGTGGTACAGGGGAGAAATTCCCACACACACCCACACCAGGTTCCTAAAAATGTACAAATGGTCAGAACTAATGAGGTTCCTCCAAGCCAAGGATTCGGGTTCTTTCTTGCCTTTGATGTTTGAATGTGGCGGAATCTGTATGCAGATGGAGGCATTGATTGGTTGCCTGTGTCAGAAAAGCCAACCGTTGCATCTGACTACACTCAGATCCTATCCCGACTAATTTTGTAATTTTAATAGCAAAGATACGTCTAAAGCAATGAAGTCTGGAAAATACCCTGATAAGTATCAGAACTGAGGTGTGAGTAATCTGAAGATCAGCCTTTGTCAGCCTTTTTAACATGGAAGAACCCTTAAGCTATTAAGGGACTCCTGTCAATAAGTATTATATGAACAGTTCATGGGGGGGGGGGGGTCAATGGGAAGGCTCCTTACATTGGGGTGGGAAGAATGTTCCTTACATTGGTGTAAGTGGAAGGGGGGGGAGGTCAATGGAAAGAATGCTCCTTACATTGGTGATCAGTGGGAAAGAATGTCCTTACATTGGTGATCAGTGGGAAGAATGTCCTTTACATTGGTGATCAGTGGGAAGAATGTCCCTTACATTGGTGATCAGTGGGAAGAATGTTCCATACATTGGTGATCAGTGGGAAGAATGTCCCTTACATTGGTGATCAGTGGGAAGAATGTCCCTTACATTGGTGATCAGTGGGAAGAATGTTCCTTACATTGGTGATCAGTGGGAAGAATGTCCCTTACATTGGTGATCAGTGGGAAGAATGTTCCTTACATTGGTGATCAGTACGAAGAATGTCCCTTACATTGGTGATCAGTGGGAAGAATGTCCCTTACATTGGTGATCAGTGGGAAGAATGTCCCTTACATTGGGGTGATCAGTGGGAAGAATGTCCCTTACATTGGTGATCAGTGGGAAGAATAGGGGATCAGTGGGAGGGGTTCCAATTGGAAAGAATGCTCCTTACATTGGTGGTCAGTGGGAAGAATGTTCCTTACATTGGTGATCAGTGGGAAGAATGGGGGAGAGGATCAGTGGGAAAGAATGTTCCTTATGGGAGTGGGAAGAATGTCCCTTACATTGGTGATCAGTGGGAAGAATGTCCCTTACATTGGTGATCAGTGGGAAGAATGTTCCTTACATTGGTGATCAGTGGGAAAATGTTCCTTACATTGGTGATCAGTGGGAAGAATGTTCCTTACATTGGTGATCAGTGGGAAGAATGTTCCCATTTACAGTTGGTGTCAGTGGGAAGATGCTCCTTTGGGGGAGAGTGAGGGGCTCTTACATTGGTGGATCAAGAATGCTCCTTACATTGGTGATCAGTGGGAAGAATGTCCCTTACATTGGTGATCAGTGGAAGAATGCTCCTTACATTGGTGATCAGTGGGAAGAATGTCCTTACATTGGTGATCAGTGGGAAGAATGTCCCTTACATTGGTGATCAGTGGGAAGAATGTCCTTACATTGGTGATCAGTGGGAAGAATGTCCCTTACATTGGTGATCAGTGGGAAGAATGTTCCTTACATTGGTGATCAGTGGGAAGAATGTCCCTTACATTGGTAGTGGGAAGAATGTTCCTTACATTGGTGATCAGTTGGAAGAATGTCCCTTACATTGGTGATCAGTGGGAAGAATACATTGGTGATTTCCTTACATTGGTGATCAGTGGGAAGAATGTTCCTTACATTGGTGATCAGTGGGAAGAATGTCTCCTTACATTGGTGATCAGTGGGAAGAATGTTCCTTACATTGGTGATCAGTGGGAAGAATGTCCCTTACATTGGTGATCAGTGGGAAGAATGTTCCTTACATTGGTGGTCAGTGGGAAGAATGTTCCTTACATTGGTGATCAGTGGGAAGAATGTTCCTTACATTGGTTACATTGGTGATCAGTGGGAAGAATGTTCCTTACATTGGTGATCAGTGGGAAGAATGTCCCTTACATTGGTGATCAGTGGGAAGAATGTTCCTTACATTGGTGGTCAGAGTGAAGAATGTTCCTTACATTGGTGATCAGTGGGAAGAATGCTCCTTACATTGGTGATCAGTGGGAAGAATGTTTCTTACATTGGTGATTAGTATGAAGAATGCTCCCTATATTGGAATGAAGGAATTACTGGAAGGGACAAAGCTGGAAAGGAGGTGAATGCTGCACTCATAGCTTTGTATTATTATTCATCATGTGTGTTCTTCTTGAATCTTGTTGTGCTCTATGTATTTCTTCCAGATCCGTGCAGTATTCCAGTGTGACACTTTCCTATAATAAGGACCGTTCACTTCTGATTTCTCTCCTTGTGCAGGGTTATTGGTCTTGTCTCCACCCCTTCTGTAGTTCTCTATAGTGGCTGGAGCCTGCTGGGCCCCTCCCACAGCTCTGCTGTCTGCACAGGAAATGTACAGTGATGATGTCACCACTACATTTACTAAGTAATATCTGGCTTTGCAAAGGAATTTGCTCTACACAAAGTGAATTTACAGTGCCTTGAAAAAGTAATCACACCCCTTGCAATTTTCCACATTTTGTCATGTTCAACCTAGAACGTAAATGTATTTTATTGGGATTTTATGTGACAGACCAACACAAAGTGGCACAGAGTTGTGAAGTGAAGGAAAATGATAAATGGTTTTCAAAATCTGTAAAAAGTGTAGCATGCATTTGTATTCAATACTTTTTAGAACCACCTTTGCTGCAATTCCAGCTGCAAGTCTTTTTGGGGATGTCTCTACCAGCTTTTCACATCTAGAGAGGGACATTTCTGCCCATTCTTCTTTGCAAAATAGCTCAAGCTCTGTCAGATTGGATGGAGAGCGTCTGTGAACAGTAATTTTCAAGTCTTGCCACAGATTCTCAAATGGATTTAAGTCTGGACTTTGGCTGGGCCATTCTAACACATGAATATGCTTTGATCTAAAGTAAACCATTCCATTGTAGCTCTGGCTGGATGTTTCGGGTCTTTGTCCTGCTGGAAG